GGCCACATGCAGCCCACCTAGGACATTTATCTGGCCCACTGGGTGTTTTTGCCGCCACTGCCTGTCCTACTTAGCAGCTGACTTGTCCCAGGGCCTGCAGTCTGGCCCTCCAACAGTCTGAGGGACAGTGAACTGGCCCCGTTTAAAAAGTTTGAGGACCCCTGACTTATAAAATAAACTATTCTGTATTACAATCCCTTATAAGTCCTCTTGAAAAGCAAAGAAATAGAACACTTTTTAAACTACTAGAAATAGAGGCCAAATGAGAAAAACAAATACTGACTCTAGGCTCTCCCTGATCTACAATCTAAATTAATAGCATTAGGCTGGGATCAGTGGCTCTAGCCTGTAGTAATCCTAGCATTCTGGGAGGCCAAAGAGGGTGGATCACTGAAGCTCAAGAGTTAAGAGACCAGCCTGAGCAAGAACATGAGCTATGATGTCACAGCACCCTACCCAGGGTGACAGAGTGAGATTCTCTCTCCCCTAAAAAATAAATTTAAGAAACAAGCAAACAAAAACCCCCCAGCAGGCTGGGCAAAGTGGTTCATGTCTATAATCCTAGCAATCTGGGAGTCCAACCAAGGCAGGTGCATGCTTCAGCTCAGGTGTTCAAGACCAGCCTGAGCAAGAATGAGACCCTGTCTCTACTTTTCTCTAGTTTTTTTAAAAACTAGAAAAACTAGCTGGGCATTGTGGTGGGTGCCTATCATCCAGCTCTCAGGGAGGCTGGGGCAAGAGGATTGCTTGACCCCAGAAGTTTGAGGTTACTATGAGCTATGTACCCATGGCACTCTAGCCTGGGGCAACAGAATGAGCCTCTGTCTCAAAAAACCGAAAAACAACATTGTAAGCAAAGTCAAGGATAATGCACAGAAAGGGAGGCACCTGTGGCTCAAAGAAGTAGGGCGCTGGCCCCATATGCCAGACGTGGCAGGTTCAAACCCAGCCCTGAAAAAAAAAAAAAAAAACAAAAAACATCTTCTAAAACAAAAAAGGATAATGCACAGAAAGAACAACTTGGAGAAAAGTACCTATTTTAAAACATTATTTTAGGCAATAAATGGTAATAATAATAATAGTAATTTGTTGAGGACTTATTAAAAACCAGGTACTGTACTAAGTAGATTCTAAGTAGATTTTATTTTATAAAAAATAAGTTAAAATTTTTTATAACTGATACTCTGCATATGTATCAGTTCATTTAACGTTTACAACCACTCTATTAACTTTCCTACAGGCAAGTCAAGGAATTTGTTCAGGGTCTTAAAGGTATTAAATTGTCCTGTCACATAACCTGGTTTTAGGCTTGTGATCATAAAGATCCTACACTGATGGTACTTTATAGTAAGAACTATGGCTAGAAAGAATAATAGTTCTATCAGCAGAGGGCAGTATGCACTAAGAAAAGGGCAGTTTTTCCAAAGAAAAGCAGTAAGAGAAAAAAACCAGAAATACTAGAACTCTCTGCATGTGCCTTTACTAGTAGACCCTTGAGGACTTTTAGTGTAAACTTATATGATGTAGTGTTTATTTCAATTATAAATCCAAAGGGAAATACGTTTTACAAAATTGCATCAAATCATATTGGTAAATATTCGTTCACTTTCTGAAATATCTATTATTCATTTTACCTAAGAAACCTAGTTCTTTCAGTTAACTAACTGCATCTATGACTTTAGAAAATCATTTAAAAAAAAATTTTTTTTTTGTTGTTGTTGTTACAGTTTGGCTGGGCTGGGTTTGAACTCACTACCCTCAGTATTTGGGGCTGACATCCCACTCACTGAGCCACAGGTACCACCCAGAAAATCATTTATAATTTCCTTGGATCTCTTCTAGAAAATTAAAAGATTTGGACAAAATCTCTACAATCTCTTTTACCTCTAAAGTTTTATAACTTTGTAATTCTATTGAACTAGTGTTCAAGTATATTTTAAAAAATGACTCAATATAGGACTCCAAAGTAATGCAAGTATGCCGAAAAAAGAACGAAAAGTCCTAAGGTTTTCCCAGTGTATGTGATAAAGTAAAATCTATAAAAAAATTTACTACTTCTCTTTTTGAAAATTTTCTAGGAATCATTTAGGTTCTTCACATTACTAATATATTTATGATGGTAGAATCTATTTTGGGGATCCAGCATAACATTCAGTACACTGTTTATTCAAATCTTCATATTCTGAAGGGTCAGCTGAGATATTTGTTAAAAAACAGATTCCTGAGGCTGGGCGAGGTGGCTCATGTTTGTAATCCCAGCACTCTGGGAGGCCAAGGCAGGTAGATCGCTCAAGTTCAGGAGTCTAAGACCAGCCTGAGCAAGAGCTAGACCCTGTCTCTAAAAATCGCTGGGCATTGTGGTGGGTGCCTCTAAGTCCCAGTTGCTTGGGAAGCTGAAGCAAGAGGATTGCTTGAGCCTAAGTTTGAGGTTGCTGTGAGCTACAGCACTCTACCGAGGGCAAAAAAATAAGATTGTCTCAAAAAAAAAAAAAAAAAAAAAAAAAAAAGGGTGGCGCTTGAGGCTCAAAGGAGTAGGGTGCTGGCCCCACGTGCCGGAGGTAGTGGCTTCAAACCCAGCCCCAGCCAAAAACTGCAAAAAAGGGAACAAGCCTATTTAAAAACAAAAACCCCCCAGATTCCCACACCTATCTGAGATCTACTGAAACCTCCAAAGAAAAACTTAGAAATAAGTATTTTTAGTATTCAGGTGACTGTTATCATCACTGAAATTTGATTTATATTCCCAATATAATCAATATATTCCCAATATAATCCTAATATAATCAATATATTGATTTATATTCAATTTGTATCAAATTGTCTTCTAGTGGTTTAAAAGAGTAAGAGCACTCACTGTTTCTGAAAAAGTACCTCATTATGAAAGGCAACAAATGTACTTGGAAGCCTTTTCTTCAATTACTTCAATCAGATAACAATTTAACACTAAAATTCCAAAACAAAGCAACATTTAAATCCCCTCCATGGTGTGATTTTACCTGGGAATTATGTTATCTAGTTCAGTCAGTTTTTTGATTAGATACTAAAGTCTTTCTATTTCAAAAAGAAATGTAAACAACATTCTCTCTTAAGGACTTACATTGCCATATGTGCATTCCAACCAAGAGTAAAAGGTGGTTTTGTATTTTCAGTGCAATGAGATGACAGGGTCAAGTATCTTGGAATGATGACTTGCTGCCCAATCTTGTTGTTAAGTGAGAGAGCCACATTAAAGCTGTATCGTTTCAAATGAAGAATAAGGACCCTGAAAAACAGGAAATGATGACCTTACTAATTTACACATAACAGAGGCAGTTTTCTCATACACTAAAACAGATCATTTGGCAGGGGGTGGGGAGCACTCTAAATTATTATTGATGATAGACAACTCTTGATTTTAAAAATACATTTGGCCAACTAAAAAGACATCAAAGAACACTGGCTGAATACCTCTCATATGCAGGCATTAGGGGTAGGTATTAAGTATTCAAATAGAAACAAAATAGGGACACTGGTAGATTAAGGTGGTTTGGATAAAATACTCGTGATTTTCCTATAAAAAACGTAAACAAATGCAACAAAGCAAATACATTTTTAGTATTAATAATAATACTAATTTTAAAATTGGTATTGATATTGGGTTACTTATTTACTTCACTGTTACATAGTTTATAAAGAAATATGCTTGGTGGCACCATGGTTCATGCCTCTAATACTCGAACTTTGGGAGGCTGAGTTGGGAGGTTTGCTTGAGGCTAGGAGTTGGGAGACCAGCCTGAGCAACATAGTGAGATCTGGTCTTAACAAAAAATATAAAGATGGCTCAGTGCCTATAGCTCAGTGGCTAGGGCACCAGCCACTTACACCCGGGCTAGTGGGTTCAAATCTGGCCCAGACCTGCTAAACGACGACGACGACAACAACAAAATAGCCAGGCATTGTGGCAGGTGCTTATAGTCCCAGCTATTTGGGAGGCTGAGGCACGAGAATTGCTTAAGCCCAAGAGTTTGAGGCTGCTGTGAGCTGTGATGTCATGGTACTCTACCAAGGGTGACATAGTAAGACTCTGTCTCAAAAACAAAAATAAATAAAAATAAATAAATAAATAAAAACATAAAAGATTAGCTGGGCACAGTGGCACATGTCTGTTGTCCATGCTATTCAGGAGGCTGAGGCAAGTGGATCACTTGAACCCAGGAGGTCAAACTATGGTGATGCCACAGCACTCTAGTCTGGCCAATAAGGTGAGACCCTGTTTCAACAAAAAACCCCAAACCAAAACAAACAAAAAAAATGGGTGTTATATAACCACTACTGATAAATTAGTGACCATTAAATAAAAATGTACATGCCCCTTACATTCTAGGATAAATATTATTTCAAGATGATTTCTAACAAAAATTATTCTTTTATTTCAGAAGCACTTTCTTTGAGAAAGTTAAGAAAGAAATAGAAAAAATTTTCCCATCAAGAAAAAAGTTGTACAAAAGTCTGCATGTCAAATCTAGGTTGTGGGTATGAAAAGGCTTTTAGCTTTTTAGAAAACACTGAATTATTTTTGGTTACTATTGTGGTAACCTTTTCACTTCTCTTACAGAACATATTTTCTGCCCCATGGATTAAATGTATTTCTTAGCCCACAAAAACACTTTAAAAATTGAATTTCAAAAAATTTATGGGAATACATTTCAGGGCTAGGCATAAAAAAGTCTTATCTATGAAAAACTATTTCCTTTTTAGCATATATGCCTCCATCTCAGAAGCCACAAACTCAAACATTTGCAGATTGAAGTTACTGATTGTACTTCTCTTTTAAAAAGCATGCTAGAATTCATAACCTTCAAACTCATAACTTGAAAGAACATAAGGACCCAAATGATGCATAGTGACTAAAAATAATGTTGAAAATAAAAAATTTAGACTAAAATTTCAAATAACATTAATCAAAGTAAAAGATAACATTGAAATAGGAAGATGGTAAAAAAAAAGATCACTGATTTTCAAAGATGAGGCCCTCCCCAAGAATAAAATCAGAATAGCTTTGAATATTAATATGAACAAAAACAGAACAAAACTATCAGGGCCCAGACAAGGTGACTCAGAGTAGGGCTTATAAACCTAGCCCTCTGAGAAGCTGAGGGAAGAGGATCCCTTGAGCTCACGAGTTCCAGACCAGCTTGAGCAAGAGCAAGACCCCATCTCTACCAAAAATAGAAAAATTAGCCAGGGATGGAGGCAGGCTCCTGCAGTTCCAGCTACTCAGAAGGCTGAGGCAGGAGGAGCGCCTGAACCCAGCAGTTTAAGAAGCCGTAAAGTGCTGATGCCACAGCACTTTAGCCTAGGTGACAGAGCAAGATTCTGTCTCAAAAAACCAAAAAAACTGAAAGAACCCCAACC